AGCAGTCTTTGATTTTTTTCTTAGCGCACAGGATGACTTTGAAGAATGCTCCGGATGCATCCTAGTTCTTCAAGCGAAGGAATCGAGAGGCATACTTAAGTGATTTGTTGGTGACTAATTGGGTTAGTTCATTATGTGTCCGTTTTTGTCGTTGCAGAGCATTTTCAAGAGTAATGAGTGACCCAACGTTTTCCCCTTTACCTCTACCCTGCCGTTCAGTGTATTCAAAACTGGATTAGTGTCAGATAAAATAAAGGCCGGCCGGGGGAAAATTCACGTGTTAGGGTACTTCACCCTGAATCGGGAAGTCATGACAGTCATTGCTAGGTAATTAGAACTTTCCAAAGGAACTACAAAGCCATTTTTCTAAAGTTGAGAGGAGAGTAGCATTTCCTCCCCCTGTTGTATCATTTGTATTTAGACAAGTGTGGGGGTGCCAAAGAGACGTATAATGACCGTGAGAAGTGAAGGCTGGGATTCATTAGAGCTGAAATACTGGAACAACAACACACGCAGTGCCCAAGGAGAGGGCCAAACAGAGACGTGTCTGCCTACACATGTCGGCGTGTAACCAGCAGACGGTTTTTCAATGCTCAGGTTGTGTTGGGGACCCTGGAAGTTGGTGTGGGAAACACAGAACTTGTAGGCTCAGTCCCTGAATTCAGAAAGCTTCTAGTCCACTTCGGGAGGAAGTCCTAGCCTGGGGCCAGGCATGTAGACTCCTGCAGTTCGCTTGCAATGGTAAGCAGGGACACAGATACATCGCTGCCATGTTGCTTCCTTGGAATCCTTCTCAGACTTCCCTGTTGTCTTAAAATACAGTATGCTGGGGCACCTGGGTGGCTCATTCGGTTGAGCGTCCGACTTCGGCTCAGGTCACGATCTCGCGGTCCGTGAGTTCGAGCCCCACGTCGGGCTCTGGGCTGATGGCTCAGAGCCTGGAGCCTGCTTCCGATTCTGTGTCTTCCTCTCTCTCTGCCCCTCTGCCGTTCATGCTCTGTCTCTCTGTCTCAAAAATAAATAAACGTTAAAAAATTTTTTTTTTTTTAAATACAGTATGCTAATCGAAAAGGTGGCATACGGGCTGGCCGGCAGATCAGGAGGTGATACCATAAGGTAAATGTTACAGATCCCAAGATGAGGGGACTGCGTGGGGGGAAGCACCGGGTTTGGGGGGTACCTGGAGACAGAGCGAAAGAGGAAGCTGGCATGGAGAGCCTTTATCGTGGTTTCTGTGGGGAAGGATGGATAAGGCAGGCTGAGCAGGTTTGGGATTGGCTACTTGGAGTAATTTCAGCAGGCTTTGGGGCGTAATGTTGTCCCCGGTTGTCTGGCACCTGGTCCTGGGGTGACTGGGGCAGTTGGACGGTGGCGTGGGGTGTGAGAGCGGATAGAGGAGGTGCGGGCTGTGGGTTGATAGGTTTGCATACGAGAGGCGAGCCCCTGGGTGAGTTTACCAGCTCTAGGAATTGGCTAATCCCCGGAGGACCGATGCCTCCAGGGACCTCCATCTGGCTCCAAGATGTCAAAGCATCAGAATGCAGAAATAAAAGATGTGGGTACTGCACCCGCTTAGACTTAAGCTTTTTTTCTTTGGTGCCCTAATAACGCCTTAAGCAAGCCTCTAGGTGAGCCCTTTCGGTGAGGCCGCAGTACCCATGGAGCCTCCCGTGACCCACCGTGTTGAGCCAACAGTTCACTGCGTGAACACAAGAGGGGGCTGTCTTAAATACGAAACTGAGGGCCTTTGGCGGGGGGGTGGGGTATCAGAGTGGGCCGTGAGCACCTCTGACTGAGAACATCGGGAAAATTCTGTGCGCGTTTTCAAGATTCCCTCGAAACAGCCAGTGGTAGCTCCCACATATGCCCTGATGAATGGCAGGTATCTCCGATATTGGGGACCCAGCCCAGGGAAAGAGGGGAGGGAGGTATTAACTAGCTGTGGCCGTGTTTCGGACATGTTGGTGGGACCTCTGTGATACGTGGATGATTAGGTTTCTGTGCATTTGAATAAATCGTAAGAGATATGGTGGTAGGCCGGGGGAGGTGTACCGGGAAGGTTGCTGGGCATGTCAGAGGCTGAAAAATACGATAAAGAGTGACATTTCATCCTGGATGAACACAGAACGAATGTGCAGGAGGGGCCTGTTATATGCGTAGCCTTCAGCTCCTAAATCTTACATTTACCCCAAACTCTCATAAATCCCTCTTTTGAGAAATTATTTAAAAGCTAATTCACACTTGGGCCAGTTTCACAAATCGGCGTTACAAGCAGGCTGCCCGCGAATTCAGAGTCTTCTAAGAACATCCAGTTCGCTAGCTTATCTGTGCCGTCCTTAGAAGCTTTTGCCACCACATCCCTCTCCACCCCCCACCCCCGATCGCTCCGTGCTTCTTTATGGATATCATGGTTTCTGTTGCTTAATTTCCTTCTCGCTTTCCTGGAGTGAGTCCCCGTTTTCAGTAGTTTTCTTTCCCACACCCTATGCTTTTATTAAGTTTGTTAATGAGTTTTCTCTTTTTCCCTTATGACAAATTCTGGCTTTCTAGTTCATTTTATTGTGATTAGTTACCATCCCGTCCTGTTGTTCTAATGTGGTTCCAGAAAGAAATGACAACTCACAGTAAATCTTCTGTTTTTTGCCTTGAGACTTGGACCTCTAGAATTTTCATATTTTAGCATTCCTTCCTTGAGCGTGTACATCTTCTTTCACATAACTTCCATGCGAATATTGTTATCTTTTGTGGTTCAGCCTTACCGTCGGCTAGTAAACTGCTCCTTTTACTAGTATGATAGAAATAATAGTTAACATTATAACAACATATAAGATGTCATTAAATTAATAATCAGTCACATTTTTTTTAGTGCTGTTACAGTTCAGGCTGTTCTAAATGATTAACATATGTAATCGTTCATTAGGTTCGCACTCTCTAAGGTAGGGACTGCTATATTCTCTCCATTTTACAGGGAGGAAACAGGCACAGAGAGGTGAAGGGATGTGCTGTAGGCATTGCGCCTGCGTCAATGGCAGTGGTATTTGAATCTGAAAATAGGGTCAGTGTGTTGAACGACCACCTTCATGGATATAAGGCAGAAATAGTCAATTAAACGTTGGCTAATTGGACAGAACTTTTCCTTTACAGCTCTCACCCCCTTTTGCCTTCCTTTGCTTCATTCTCCACATTACCACACAGGACCATTGTTCACCCTTCAGATTTCAGGTCCCGCGTCCACAGGAACTTGTCCGTGACTCTAGACAGCTGAGCACCCTGACCCCACAAACGGTTTTCTAACCCCGAATTCGTTAACCTGCGCGGTCGGGTCAATGTCTCTCTCCCTCGTAGAATAGAGCTTCAATGGGAAGGGGGGTTCCTTGTCTGCTTTGACTCCCCATTGGATCGTCAACCTCCTACACCGCCGGGTGGGTGGTAGGTGCTCTGTAAGTATTTATTGGATATATGAGCAAAAGTTTTAAAGAAAGGAGGAAGAAAGGCAAAGATTTATTATATGCTTACCACATTCCAGAATCTTTAGGTACAGGGTACCATTCAGTTGTTGTACCAGTTGGAAATAAGTTTCACACCAGGTAACAGAAAGCCCAACTACGGTGGTTTGAACAAATAGGATGTTATTTGTCTCCCATAACAAGAATTCCAGATTGGCACTTCAGGGCAGGTTTGACCGCTGACCAACATCCTAGGCTCTTATGTTTCTGTACCTCCAAGTTGGCCAATATGATGATCTTGTCAAAATAACGGTTATGTCCCAGTCACTGGATTTTCTACTGTCGTATGAGCGGTAGGTTGGTTGTCTAAGTAGCAGGTTTGAAACTCTATATGCCTCCTTAAACAAAATGTTGAGATTTCATGTTATTTATAATGTACTTTTTGCAGAGAGAAGTGAAAAGGATTCCCAGGCTTCCCCACGTTGGGGAAAGCTTTCCTGAGGTGTCTGGTGATCTTTCACCGTGCATTCTTATGTCCGGGGCATTAAAAGCTATGTGGGAATTGTGTGGGGAGAGATTATTGGCAGGTGTAACTGGTGGGTAACCTGGTTGGCATTTTCCGTAGGGGGAAGCGCTGGCCCAGTGTCCCATGTTTGTAGATCTCTCTTCCTGTATTCCCAGGGAGGGATGTCCCGGTCTCTTTGGGTGGGAGTGAAAACCAGGCTGCCAGGGCTCTGGGAGCCACGTGGAGAAGCCAGCCAGGGAACGAGGGTGTAGGGAGAAGCCCCATCTTACGTTCAGTGTAGACTTTGATTGAATACCCCTGGTCTCAGTGCATTTCCTACCCCAACCTTTAGCTCTGCTTTGTGTCTCAAGTCCAAATCCTGGAGTTCACCAGAAAGTAAAACATGCCGGGTAGGGTGGAGTGGAGGCAGCCCAGGAAGGGAGAAGGAATTTGTAAATGGATTTTTAAAAGCTAGTCCTCCTGTTGTCATATTCCTTCGTGTAGATCCTTGTGGTTCATCTAGTTCATTAGCTTATCCCACTTGGGAAGCCATCCCCCGCTCCCCCACCTCTGTCCGTTTCATGCGTACGTGTCACCTTCTGTTCCTGAGCTGTTGTTGGGGAAGGTGGGCAGGTGGGCTCACTTCCTTTCTCCCTTCATTGGCCTCCAGGGTATGGCCTTGTCTGTGTCTTCATCTGATTAGGCTCTGTCTAGTTTGGGACCGCTGTGTCCTTTCCTGCCCTTAGCACTTCTGGGCTTATGCCTTTTTGATCTCTCATCATGTTAGTAGAGAGGGAGGGAAAGTATAAATGCATGCATTCAGTCATTCATACTTTACTGGAAATCTTGCTTACATTATCTTTCTATAAAAGTCGAGTTGTATGCTAAATATATCTTGGCAATCGATAAACTTTTATGTAATTAATTCGACATCTGCTGTGTTTCTAGCTGATTGTCTCACGTAGAAAGGATAATGAAAACTCTAAGTTTCTTAAAATGTGACTGTGAGCTTTTAAAAAAATGTCTTTTTGATTTTCAGATCGTGAGCCATGCCTTTAGTGAAGAGGAACATCGAGCCCCGGCACTTGTGCCGGGGAGCCCTGCCGGAGGGGATTACCAGTGAACTTGAATGTGTAACCAACAGTACCCTTGCTGCTATCATACGCCAGCTCAGCAGTCTAAGTAAGTCGTCTTCTGTCTAGAACACTTTTTTCTGATTACCGATGGCATGTGACGAACTTTAACGTCAGCACATTGGTTTCACTTCAGTCGTTAGTTTTGTCCCAAGAAGAGACCGCAGCTTTGAAGGAAAGAGCCCACCCCCACCCCCTCCCGATTTTCCCACAGTGAAATAACTCACTGGTCTTACGATACCAACTTTATGTGCTGAAGACGTAAAGTTCAAATTGACCCTTTTACAGATTGTTAGATAAGACCGAATTATGGATTCAAAGTAGTGTCGGTTCTTATTAAATGAGGATTAAATGATTGGTACTTTTTTTAAAAATGTGAATTACTTTGTTAAGCTTGGACAGGACTGATTTTTTTCTTTTTAACGGGATAAATTAAAAACTTGTTAACACTTGTAACATTCCTGGCACACAGTATGTGCTCAAGTATTTGTTGATGAACTAATGCTCCAAGTGAATTGACGATTAAAGCCAAAAAGTAGTGAGATTTGCTGATTCTCACTTACTAAAATGCAGGTACCAACTTCCAAATTGAGGTCAACAGATAAACTGTTACATATACGACACTGTGTATGTATTACATGTGCAGGTATATAAACACAAGCAAATATAAGGAAGAAAGGACTTTCTGTTATTTTCATTTTGAATATGAAGGTGAAATACCCAAGAAATAGTTCATTTCTTAAGACTCAGATATTCACGAAAATGCATTTTCCTTCAAAGGTTCTTGAAGTCAGAATGTTTTCCCCTTAACTCTTACATTTATAAAACGATCTTGTTATCTTACTTTGTCCCACTCCTTTTTGGTTTAGATGGTTTACACCGCATTTGGGTGACGGGTTTTCACAGTAAAATGTTCCAGAAGCTCTGTTAATAATTAGAAAATCCTCCATAATTCCACCTACTGGTAGCCTCAAGCATAGAAATATGCTTTTTAAGAACATTCAGGTACTTTCTGGGGTGCCTTGGGGGCTTAGTTGGTTAAGTGTCTGACCCTTGATATCGGCTCAGGTCACAATCTCGCAGTTCATGGGTTTGAGCCCTGTGTCTGGCTCTGTGCTGACAGCACAGAATCTGCTTGGGTTTTCTCTGTCTCTCTCTCTCTGTCTCTCTCTCTGTCTCTTTGTACCCCTCCC